GAAGGCCCTGGGTGCTAGTACATCAGCTGGGATCTCTCCCTGGGAATCCTGAACCATTTACTAAAGTGCAAAATGAAACTGCTCAAGGTAAAGACTTTCCACCTTAAGATAAGAGTACTCAGCCACCAGTCAGCCAAGAATTATTTGCTGAGAGTCTTTGAAATAAAGTACTGTGCTGGCCCGTCCAGTGGACGCAGAGTGTATCATGGCCCTTGACCCCAGCCAGGAAGTCACAATAGGCCCTTGAGAAAGGTGGGTACCTGGAGTAAATTAGGAGACAGATCTGGTGGATGGAAGTGTTTGAAGTAGTCTCTCAGGGTTGGTCCCACCATGGAAATGGACAGCCAGATGCAGCTGCCTTCAGGGAAAGAATTAAGACAGGCTTTCCTATGAGCACATCCTGTTTGTCATCAGCTTTGGCCTTCCTGTTTTACTTTTCTTGAACTGGAAGAAAAGTGGGTACATTTTTTGGGGGGTATATATATATTTTTTGGGTATTGGGGATCGAACTCAGGACCTTGTACTTTCGGGACAGGCAGCAGCACTATTGAGCTAAATCCTGGGCCCTGGGGGGTATATCTTTAACTACATGTTTTTCTTTTCTTTTTAGTTTTGGTTCTGGGCATTGAACCCAGGTACTTTTGCATGCTAGGCAAGTGCTCTACTACAGAAGTACACCTTTGGCCCTTTTTAGGTTTTGAGACGAGTGTCAGGTAAAAGGGCCGAAGACCAAGACCAGACCAGGCCACAACAAGCCTTTATTAGGGGAACAGATCTGCCGAGCTGTCTCTGAACAAAGGAGAGACAAAAGCAATATGGCTGGGGCTGGGAGACTGGGGTGGGGTTTGTAGGGTCTGAGGTGGGGTTAAGTGAGGTAGTGACTAGGGAATGGAGGAGCTGGTGATGTCACTAGATGGTAGGAGGTGAGCGAGTATTAGGTTACTTTCTAGGCGGGAACAGGGGCATGCTGGGAAGAAGGGTTTATTCTTTGGTGGGAGCAACCATCTTGGCATGACGTCACACGGTAGGGGGCAAGGCACGATAGGAAGAGGGCAGCTACTATACATAATAGCTGCTGAGGTGGTGGGAAACCTGTCAGGTAAAAGGGCCTAAGACCAAGACCAGACCAGGCCACAACAAGCCTTTATTAGGGGAATAGATCTGCCGGGCTGTCTCTGAACAAAGGAGAGACAAAAAGCAACATGGCCAGGGCAGGGAGAGTCTTTTATAGAGACGGGTGGGGTTTGTAGGGGCTGAGCCGGGGTTGAGTGAGGTAGTGATCAGGGAGTGGAGGAACCGGTGACCTTACTAGGTGGTAGGAGGTAAGCGAGTATTAGGTTACTCTCTAGGTGGGACCAGGGCCATGCTGGGAAGAAGGGTTTGTTCTTTGGTGGGAGCAACCATCTTGGCGTGACGTCACAAAGGGGAGGGGGCAAGGCACCATAGGAAGAGGGCAGCTACTATACATAATAGCTGCTGAGGTAGTGGAAGACCTATCAAAACCTATCAACAAGGTCTCCCTAAAAGTTACCCAGGCGGGGCTCAGACTTGTGATCCTCCACTGGGCTTTCCTAATAGCTGGGGTTGCAGTGTGTGCCCCTGTGCCAGGTGACTGTATGTGTTTTCACTAGTGTGTATACATGGTGAGCCTACCCAGTAGCGAGGTGTTTAAAGAAATCATATTATTAGTCACTGGAAATGAGAAGCTACACTGGAATAGTACTGGAAAGTTGAGTGTGGAGAAGCAGAAAGACTGTAGGTGGAAAAATCTAGTCATGCTCTTTGAAGGGTATATGCAGGGGTTCTCAGTTCTGGGCAGGAGTGTGTGGAATAGCAGTAGGTGCGGACTGAGTGCCAGCTAGGGATCCTGATGGGAGGGAGTCCTGGGGGTGCCCTTCCCTGAGGCAGCCACACAAAAGGGATAGGAGTAGATTTGGATGTGGGGACCATGAGTGACACCCAGGGAACGTGGTATAAGAGGTAAGAGTACATAGCCACTTTGACCTTGCCGTTTCCTCCCTCAGGTCGGATCCACATTATTTTTCCCGAGGAGCTGGGAAACTTGTATTTTCAGGACCCAGGGAGTATTTTGTCACTATTGATATCAAATTATACTTTAACAAAATTAAAAATATGACTCATAAAGATAAATGAGCATGTAAAAAAAATTTTTTTTTTTTGGTACCGGGGATCAAACTCAAGTCCTTGCGCTTGTGCAGAAAATTTTTTTTTTGAGACAGGGTCTCCCTGTGTAGTTCATGCTGGCCTTGAACTCACTATGTAGTCCAGGCTGGCCTCATTCATCGAGATCCTGCCTCAGCCTCCTGAGTGTTGGGATTACAGGTGTGTGTCACCATGCCTGGCCATGAATATGTAAAGTTTTTTTTTTTTTGTATTGGGGCTCAAACTAGGGACCTTGAGCTTGTGAGGCAGGCAGTGGAACCACTGAGCTAAATCCTTGGCCTGAATATGTAAACATTTTAACCTATCAGTGAGGAAACTAGTGACATGGTGAATTTATTCAAAGAGTATGTGAGGAGCTGGTTGTTTATAGGATTTACAGAAAAAGAGAATGTTAGATTAAGATTTCCAGTCCATAAGGCTGGGTAGTATCCTGCAGAGCAATGAAACTATAATCTTTATGGTAAACTTTTCTGTCATTCCGAATTCCATAACTGTACATGTAGGGCTGGGGATTTAGCTCAGTGGTTTCGCTGCCTGCTGCGCAAGCATGAGGACTCGAGTTCGATCTCCAGTACCAAAAAGAAAAAAAAAATGTACATGTAGCTTCATAGTGTTTGGACTGATCAGTTAGTGAATAGCAAGTCAAACACAAGTATACCTTTTTAGAGTGTTAAAAAAGCTTTAGGAAAAAAAGACAACTTTAGGATGGGTTGTTAACATGCTGTACTGTGATGTTGAGAGGATATGCTAATCCCTCCAGTCCTACTTCCTCCCCATTGATGCCTCATTTCCAAGCTTTGAATAGATTTTATTGCCATTATAAAGAATGCTCTGGAGTTGAAGAAACCTGAGATTGAGTCCCAGTTCCTTCACTTGTCAGGGTGTAAAGTTGGGCAGGTAATTACCTACAGTCAAATTTACTTGCTGTAGATTAGGACGAGCACATGACGTAGCTTTTGTAAAGTTCCTGGAACATGATAGCTACTCAGTAAATCTTTGTTCTTTACCTTTCTTTAAAATTAAAAAATTTTCACCTTTTTTTCTAGTTTTCATAGTCAGGTATGCCATAGAACTCTCAGCGTGTGAGTACTGTTTCAACAAAATGGAGAGTGAAGTGCTTAAGTGAAGATTTCTTACTTGATTTTTTGAGTGGGTTTTTTTTTTTGGTACTGGGGATCAAACTTGGGACCTTGAGCTTTTGAGGCAGGTGCCGGAACCACTGAGCTAAATCCCCAGCCCTTTCATGTTTTGAAGGTGGTATTTCTTGTTTTGATAAAAATATTAGTCGTTCCTCCTTTATAGAGAGCTGGTTTCCCTATCTTTTGTGGAGTCCTCTCATGAAGCGTTTGGTGCCTTTGTGTTGAGGTTTGTGAGGAAGGAGGAGAAGCACCTTGACAGTCCAAGCTCAGTTTTTACCCATTGGGCAATAACTATTTATTGAGCAGCCTCTGCAGAGCCCGGGTGACTTTTTCTGGTGTGTGATAAAACAGCCTGCCCTGGCGGAGACAGACAGCAACCAAGGAAACGAGATAAGTAGAGATGAAGATAGAAACGGAATAAGCTGCTGCTCTCAGTACAATTTTAAGTAGGGTGATCAGAGAGGACACCCTTGAGGAAGTGGCTTTCTGAGTTGAAAATCGAGGGGTGAGGAGTCAGTCCTGGGAGGGCTGAGTGAAGAGTATTCTGGGAAGAGTGTCACCACGAGAGGTGTGGGAGGAGGAAGCCTGTCGAGGAACAGCAAGGGAGGTTATGGCCCAGTGAAGTGACATTCGATCAGAGGCCACTGGCTGTGAGGGCCATGGAGATTCCGGGAAGGAATTTGGGTTTACTCTCAAGTGTAGTGCAGAGCTCTCCAAGAGGTCTGGAGCAGAGGACTGGTATGCACTTATTCAGAGAAGAGGCTGTAGCTATCACATGAAGAATTGAACCCAGGTGTCAAGAATAGGAGTAGGGAGCTGGGCTCGGTGGAGCATGCCTGCCATGCCAGCACTCAGGAAGTGCAGGCAGGGGGATTGCTGTGGGTTTGAGGCCAGGCTGAGCTGCATAGTGAGACCCTGACTCAAAAAACACAAGGGTGTAGGAAGCACTCGGTAGGCTGAGTCCCCCGGGATTCCAGGCTAGCCTGACTATGTAGAAGAACCCTGCCTCAAAAACCAAAACAGAGGACCTGGTGGCTTGGTCTTCAGTAATCGTGGGAAGGATGTAGTAAGAAGGGTGCTGGAGCTTAGGCCGGGTTCTGGAGGTTACACACACCCGGGTGAGAAGCTGTGGAAACTGCTGTGTTATGTGTGAGTTTCTGAGTGAGGATGTATGTGTTTGTGTGTATCAGTGTATACGAGTGTGCAGTGCATGTGTGGATTTGTGAGTGCATGTAAATCATGTGCATGTGTGGGTTTGTCTCCTGTTATAGCTTCTGAACTAGTGAGTTGACGTGTAGCACGTGTTCAGCTAGGGGAAGGCTGTGGGAGGAAGGACTGTTCATAGGGTGGTGCAGTTGGGTGTGGAGCGCTGGAGAAAGGAAAGACGGAATTGGGCAGATCCTGCTTTTTATTCATTATATCCTGTGTCTGGGATGAACGGGACTGAGGAGTAAAATGTAACTCTCCTGAAGTAAGCCCACTTTGATTGCAGGCTATTTTTACCAGTCTTAGTGACAATAGAAATAAAACTCATTAAATTCACACAGTGGTTCGAGTGGAGCAATTGTACTGCGTACCTCACCTTCCCACAACAACCCCCATACATATACTTTTCTTTTTTACATTTACAGTTCTTGGTTCTTGAGAAACTCATTGTATTTTTTTATTTCCCACCAGGACATTTTTGAAGATGCCTTGGAAATCATGCCTATGTAAGTAATGATTTAATAAAAAGTATATTGTAGCAAAAATTTGATGGTTCTTGTATATAAAATCTAAATACTTCATTCGTATTTTTTTAGGAGTACTTTTCACTGTCACAATTTTTAAAAAGTCACTGGGAAATTAAAGAGTTTGGATATGATCATGCTTAAAAAGAATCTAATGTTACTCTCAAATACATTTTTGAGTTTATTTCTTGAAACATTAAATTAAAAGAAAATGTTTTCCAACAAATTATTTTAATACTTGTCCGTATTTGTTTAGATGGTTGGCCTCATATTGTAGATTTTCACTTTTGATTTGCACTCAGTTTTATAAGCACTTATGATATAAACTTTATATAGTTTTTGTAATACATTATATTAGATCAATGACGTTTTGCATGGCATTACATTAGATCAAATAGAATACCAGTTTAGTGCTCCATTGTTAGACATTAAGGTTATTACTGGTTTAACAACTTAAAAACTAAATGATACCTTTTTTGGGTGTGTGTAGCCTTGTCATTATTTTTTGAATTATTTCTAAAGGTTAACATTACAGATATAGGATTATTGGGTTAGACTGAATATGTTTATTTTTTATTTTTTTCAGTACCTTGCGTTTGCCAGGTAGGTGTGGCACCAATGAGCTACATCCCTGGCCCATTTATTATTCTTTACATATTTCAAGTTGCCTTTCTGTATTGGTCAGCTTGGGCTGACTGGCTGAAACAATAGTTTGTAATTTTTCGGCATTTTGGAGGCTAGAAGTCTGAGACAAGGGTGCCAGCGTGGTTGGGTTCTGGTGAAGGCTTTCTTCCTGGCTTGTAGAAGGCACCTTCTTGCTGTATCTTCACAGGGGTTGTGGGGAGGGGCAGACAAACTGAAAGTCTGTTTTTGTAAGTGTGCGATCCCAACATTGTGGGCCCATCTTGTGACCTCATCCAGAAGGCCCCATCTTTAAATACTACCGCATTGTGAGATGAGGACTTCAACACTGAATTTATAGGTGGTGGTGAGGACACACAATTCAGTCCATAGCACTTTGCAAAGAGTTTCATTTGTTTACCTGGCTGCCAGTACTATGTAATGAAGTAGATTAAACTGTACCATTGCCATCACTTGAGCATTATTTGAGAAATAGTTCTGCTGGTTAAATGATGCCTCTTTTGTGTTTTAAATTTTTCTTTATTATCATTATTTAGTACATTTCCTTTCATATGACTTCTAGTCTTCTAGCCTGTTTAACTTTTTTCAGTTTCTCTTATGTTCTGATAGTTTTAAATTATGTATACCCTAATCTTTTGTCATATTTACTCAGTATTTTCTTCAAACTGATATGTTTATGTTAGAATTAGGAAGTTTTATTTTGTTCAGAGGTTTTTTGTTTTTGTGTTTTTGGTACCAAAGATCGAACTCGGGACCTTGTGCCTGCAATGCAGGTGGTGGAACTGCTGAGCTAAGTCCCTGGCCCTAGAGGTTTTAGTGTTTATGCTGAATGTTTATGCTCCTACTGTGACGTGGTACCTTACCACAGGCTCAAACGCAGTGGGCCCAACTGACACCTCCCTGGACTGTGAGCTAAAATAAACCTTTCCTCATTTTAGGTTGACCCACCTCTGAAATTTATTACAGTAACAAAAACAGACTAACAGATACATTATTATTAGCTACAGTGCAAACATTATTCAGGTTTCTTTAGTTTCACCTCTTTCTGTCTCAGCATGAAGCACTGCATTTAGTAGTTGTTATGTCTCCTTAGGCTTCTCTTGATGTGACAGTGTCACAAACTTTGTTTTTGATGACCTTAAGACTTTTAAGTGGTGGTGAGTTTTTTGTATGATTTGACTGAGGCTGGGAGTCCCTAGGGGGAGGAAGGAAAGGGAAGGGAAGGGGAGAGAGAGAAAGAGAGACAGAGAGAGAGACAGAGGACAGAGAGAGAGAGAGAGAGAAAGAAAGAGAAAGAAAAATGCACACATCATGGCAGGAGCATGTGGTGTAGCAAAACAACTCACCACATTGCTAGGAGGCAAAGAAGAGGAAGGGGATGGGTTCTTCTGAGCCCAGTGATCTGGTTCCTCTGACCAGGCCCCATCTCCCAGAGCAGTGTTTGGTGGTACAGCCCATCGGTGCCACAGTTGTGCCACCATTGTCCTAGAAGTAGCGCCACCCTGAGACCACACATTAAGCACGTGGGTCTTTGGGGCAATCAGGGTACATATGAAAACATGTACCCTTTCTAGAGTTTGTCTTGCTCTTTTAGGTTTTGGCATGCATTCTTTCTTTCTTTCTTTTTTTTTTTGAAGTTTTATGGTCAGTTTATTAAGTTCAATAGTGAAAGTTATCAGAAGAATAGTCTCCTCAGAGTTATTTTTTCTTAGAAAAAAAAGAAAGGAAAATTAAAAGCCTTTCAGCACCTGTGGAGCTCTCCGGAGATGGTGCATCAGTCCTCTGAGTCACTCCCTGGGCCAGCAGGTTTGTAGTCTGGGTCGTCCTCAACATCCTCCAGCTCCAAGTCATCCAGTTCCTGGTGTAAGACCGAGGGCCTTACCAAATGCTCCGAGGAGCTGACTAGTGAAGCACACCCAGGAATCGAAGCGGTGCCTTCAGAATGTAAGACCAAGAGCCTTACCAAATGCTCCGAGGAGCTGACTAGTGAAGCACACCCAGGAATCCCAGCGGTGCCTTCAGAATGTAAGACCAAGAGCCTTACCAAAGGCTCCGAGGAGCTGACTACAGCGAAGAACACCCGGGAAGGAACACACCGGACAAGTTGGAAAACAGACCTTTATTAGTCTGGCCAGACGGCACTCCCGAAGCAAAATAGCTTAGAGAGGCAACTGGCTCAGAATCCGAGGCTGTTTTTATAGGGGGTTGAGGGGGAAGTTAACATATAGAATTAAAGAAAAGGGGACAAAGGGTAGTGATCACGTATTGATGGTCAGCAGACATTTGCAGCTTGTTCTAAAAATTGTGGTGCCCGGAACATCAGTTCAGGCAAACAAGGAGTTGAGTAGTTTACTCTGGGACTTTAGGTCTGTTACAGATTTTTATCTAGCGTCCCAAAACTAACAAGCATCTTTATCCATTAACTCACATTTAATCACAATGGGGCTGGAGAAAAGGAACAAAGGTTATGCAGTCCCACACTGGAACAAAGACTCATCTACTTCCACATTATTTCCAGCATTCTCCAAGAACTGGATATCAGATGTGTCAAGATTATGATCAGTTTCAAACAGCTGTTTGCCACTTAATTTATTTTTTCCTGCTTGCTCTTCTTTTATCTGTTTCTTTTTAATTTCCAAGAGTTCTGCATCAAACTTGGCTTTCCAGCATAAGAAATTCTCAGTTGTAACAGGGGTGCTGTAGAATAATTGCTTCTCTGCTTCTTCTGCTTCTTTTTCTTTTAGTTTCTTTTCTTCCTCTCTTCTCGTTTTTATCTGATCTACTATTTCATTTAATTTTTCTTGCACTGCTGTCACTAGAGTAAAGATCATGACCATACCAAGATTTTCCTCATCCTGTAATGCTAATAAATTTAAAATGTCTATGACATCATTATCTTCTAGGTTTTCCTGGGAAAATATTTCATAAAGAGGAGCTTCATCTGAGTATTTTTCATTGTATGTAAACTTGAGGGTAGTCTGGACAGTTTCAACATTTTCTCCAGCCTCAGATGTCACAGTGATGGTGAAGCTGGGTGGATTTTCTGATAATACTGTGAAGGAGTCCGGGTAGATAGACTCCAGAGCCTCCAGTTTGTTTTGCTGCTCCTTGCTGTAGTCTGTCATCGCGGCCCTGGCTGCTGCCCATGGAGCACGCCGACGCTCAGGCAGTGCGCCACAGCCGAGTCCCGAGGCCTCCGGCCAGGCCCGGCCTGCTGAGCCACAGCCCCGCACCGCTCTCGGCGGATCGCTAGTTCTCTGGCATGCATTATTTCTTAATGTTCTTTAAAATTGTCTCTGAAACACTTTTGTGTTTCCCTTTTCATGTTGTGGAAATGTCCCCAGTAGAGAGAGAGTTTTTACTTTGGCTGTAGCAGTACCTTGTAGTAGCATTTGACTTAATAGAGCCTGGAGCAGCAGAAGGGGCAGCCAAGTTAGGCAGGATAGCCCACGCTGTGACCTAACACTTCACTTCTTCTCTTTTTTTTCTTTTTTTGGTAACAGGGATTGAACTCAGGATCTCATGCTTTCCAGCCAGGTGCTGTGCCACTGAGCTAATCCCTGGGCCAACACTTTACCTCTGTAGAGATGTCTGCCTGAGTCTGTTTACAGCTGGTTTCATCTGATTCTAATCTAATGTTATCATACAGAGTTCTGGGAGGTGTTGTGAGGGGTGGTTTTAGAGGCCAGTTTATTGGTAATGGTAAGATATGGCAGCGAAAGAATAAAGTAAAATTACACACAACCATAGCACCCCAAAGCACACAGTGTGGCTTCACTGCGTGACAGGACTACTTGAGCTCTAGTCCCAGTCTGCCGTTTACTGGCTGAGGGCCCTGGAGCAGATTCTGTGAGCCTTAGGTTTCTCAGCTTGTCATAGATTTATTGGGAAGATGATATAAATTTTCACTTACGTTTGATAATGGGGGAGGGAGGTGAGAAGATATAAAAAGAATTAAGATGTGCTGCACACATGCACCAACTCCCCATGATGAGTATCACACATGGACTAATAAAGATACTGGTCGGTGCCACTCACACCCAGGCGGGTCTTCTGTCTTCAGTAAATCCCTTCAGCCACGCTCAGAACTAAGCTAATCCAATTAGTTGGGCATTTCTTACTCAAATTGACACAATCGCTTAACTATCACAGGAGGTATCCGTGAATGATATTTGGAAAAATATTTAGTTACTACTTTTCTTCATACGAGTTAAATTATGAATGACAAGTACAGACAGCATTGGATTTCAGTTTTCCTTGCTATTTTTGGCCCCAACTCTTCCCTCCAGATCTGAGCAGGGACTTTTCCCCTCCTCCCTACTGTGATCTTCATAACCAGG